TAAATTCTGAGTAGCCGAGGTTTCTGTCATTTTTATAGGCGACAACTTAAGAATCTTTGACGTACATTTCCGGAGCCACGACACCGTCCCACCAGGAGCTGGCAATCCTAAGGCAGCAGCAGTTGGGGATATATCTCTCATTTCCTGTCTTGGTGCTTCGTTCTCAAGAATGTTGGTCAGTTTTGACAAATTAGGCATTTCTACGTTATCAATGTCAGGGAGCACTAGCTCTGAAAGCAGTTCACTGTAAGGCTTGCAGTTCCTATTACTTTCCATGGAAGAAAGGAAACGATTTCTCTCACTAATGAATTGTTCACGCTGTTCCTTCAGTTTCTTGGTTAAGGCAACAAGGTCATCAACATCTTTCCGGATTTCTGTCTGCTGCTCTTCAAGATGTTTTTTACTATCATCAACTTCTAGCTTTTCTTTCTCTATTCTCTGTCTATCGCTCTGCACATCCGCCATTTCTCTTCTGGCTACGTCTCTTAGGTTGTTTATATTGCTCAATTCCTTCTCTCTCTCTTCCTCAAATAGCTTCTCTTTCGCCTGCAACTCCCTTTCTCTTTCCTCCAGTCTAGTCTGCATATCAGCCTCGAGTTTCCTTTTGAGCATTTCAATATCATGAAGCAGTTGACTTCTTTCGCTCTCAGCTTTCTTACAGATCACTGAACGCTCATACTCCATAGTATCTGCAAACGAAACTTTTGCAACTTCAAGGGCTTCTAGCTCTCTTTTGATGTTTTCATTTGCTGCCTGCTTTTCTTTTTTCAGCCTTTCTTCTTCCAAGTGGCTGTATCTCTCTAGCTTTTCCTTCTGATCAGTTATATTCTTTAGTTCATTCTCAATCTCGGCTTTCCTTTCATCAAGTTCTTCCCATTCTTTCTCAAAACTTTCTATTTGGGCTTTCAGGTCCTCAGCCTCTTTCAAAAGCAACTCTTGTTGAGACCTACACTTTTCTATTTGCTCTTTTAATTCAGTTTGCAGACGAAGATACTCAGACCTCTCCTCCTCGGTAACTCTAAGCCCCTCCTTCTCTTTGTGAATTTCTGATAGCTGTACGTCATTTTCAGCCCTTATCTTCTCGACTTCAGCTTTAAGATTGAGGATAACTTCCTTATCCTCAAGCAGTTTTCTCTTCTCAGTTTCCAATGCCTTCTCCTCACTTTTCAAGGCTTTCTCTCTGCCATTTATGCCTTTCAGTCTTAATTCAAAA